CTTGAATAACGGTCACTTGTTAAATATGGTGACTTCTTGAAAAAGAGCAGCAGAATATAAAGAAAAGGGATTTCTTGTAATTTACGGTGATATAAAATATATGTTGGCTATGTTGCGGGAGAAAATGCAATTTTGTCTTCAAAGAATAATCCCATATGTACTAAGTTAGTGAATAGTAGAGGGTTTAAATTTGTTCTCCTCTCTTTAAACTTTGACGGTTTCCAAGAAGGGGGTGTTATGGGCTTTCATTTGTATGGGCTTTGGTTAACACACACGCGCGCACGCCGCGCCACACACGCCATGTTCCACGTTCCACGTGTTGAATTTTTTAACTTCTTTTTACACGTTTTTCACGTGGAGAACGTGCGTAAAAATTGCACATTTTTTGGAGAACATGCAAACGGTCGAATGTTACGCGCGAATTTAGCAAACGTTACGCGGCGATTTCTCAACGGCTAAGGGTTTCTCAACCCTATATATCCCGCCTCTTACCATCTTGGTAATACAGAACAACGAAAGTCCTTCTCCCTCTCTCTTGTCTTCAAAACCCGAGAACATTCTTTACTCTGAGAAAAAGCTCTATACTTTCGTCCGAGTACAGAGGTCGGCTGTTTTCAGGGGCTTTTACCGTTAGGGAAGAGGGGATCATCTGCGCCAGGACGATAGGCGGGTCATCAATCTTCTAGGATAGTGCTTGAGATACTGCTACCCCATCAGGCCAGACTTTTCTGTTTATTTTATTTTCGGATTTATTTGCGTGTTATGAGTTAACTTAATTTAATAATTTTCTAGCAATATATACCTTGTCGACGACCAATCCAGACCCACCGGCGATATGAACAGTCGCACCCCGTCCATCTATAGCCGTCAGGTTGCTAATAAAGATCGGAATTTTGAGCTTGATCGTCATGTCACTCTTGAAAGTAATCCAGACCTTCCCAGGGATCGTCGTAGCCCCGTAACGCAACGTGCCCTCCTTAGGCTTCTCCGGATCGTCGCTTGAATCGGTCACTTCATAGTATTTGACACCTGATCCAGCGAGCTTCTTCATCTTTCCTGCATACCCTATTGAGCACCAAGCGAGGTCTTTTCTCGCGCTAGCCCAATGAGGGTCGTTCCTCCAGCATCGATCGATGGCGTTCTTGTTGATGTAGCTTCTATCTTTTGATTTAGAGCTCGCAAGGGCCAGGAGGGGGGCGAGAACGAGGAAGGAAAGAGAGAGTTTTACAGAGAGGACCATTGTTAACTTCGTGATGAGGCCGGGGAGGGAATGCGCTGGTTTGTTTAGGGTATTTGAAAACTGGGTTTGTTGATAGCTATGGCATTTTTGGTTATCGGCAACAGGCGGATGCGATGGAGTCGCGCTTTGAGATAGATTTCCATCCATAAGAATTTTTTTCTTCTTCTATTTTTGACTTGACCTTCTGCTTGTCTAATTAATTTGCACGGATGCCATTGGTTTTTTGCTTATTTTCCTCGTTGACTCTTGAGATTTTTGTTGTAGTTTCTTTGAAACCAAAATAAGTTAGCTAATAAGTGTATCCAAAATGTTAACTTTTTTTGACTCTCGCCCACCTAATTAATTAATAAAAAGAGAATCCGAAGGCCATATATACATCTGTTGTACAGATACGCGGTACAACACAATAAACTTAATTAGTAATTAGATATGTTGCCCATCATATATCTTTTTGGTAGCACATGGCTGCTTTTAATTTTAATCGTTAACTATATAATGAGTGGTTGTGATTCATTCTAAATGTAACATTCATCATACTCCTGTATATTGCACTCATTTCTAATTTGCACACAAAGAAAAAAAATTATATCCATCCACGAGATAATCAATAGTTACAATTAAATAGTGATCCCTATACTTTTTTTCACTACAACAAAAGTTGTATGTGTCCACACTTATTTTATGACGCATATGAAAGTGTCATTTTATTTGCAAAAGTTAAACAATAGTGACACAAATAAAAAGTGTAGCAAATCACGATACGTATTTGTGCTATTAAATATATAATTAAATGTAATTAAAAAATGTTAATAGTCTAATACAGATTGTGAGAAGATCTATTAATTAATGGGCTTAAATAATAAATCTTAGATTTTAATTATAATGACGATTAAATATTTATTATAGTGTATAGGCTAAAATACTCTATAGTTAAATATGCTTTTGTGAAAGTAATCCTAGCATGGGTGGTCTTCTTGGAATTATAGTGTTGAATGATAATACTCTTTATATTTTTAAGACTATCTCCAACAGGAGATATTTGGGGTTTTTTTTTGCTCCAGCGGGTGGCTTTCAAAGGGGTGAAATGAAAAACCGGAGCCCAATGGGTGAAATTTTCACCTCCGGTTTTTCTCTCCATATGGGTCCCGCAACATTAAATCAACAATTAAAGAGAGCCATGTGTCAAGGCTTGATTGGTTGGGTTTTTTTGTTTTACTCCTAACTTTTAAATGATATTTTGGGAGATAAATACTAGGAATTAATTTATAATTTTTATATCAATAATTTTTATTTTTTCACCTCTATAAATAAAAATTAGTCTTGTGTAATTTGGAGACAAAAAAAAATCTGAGTTTTCAACACCTTATTCTCCTTCTATTTTTTGTTAGTATAAAAATATTATCAAAAATTAAATTAATAATATATATTATTTATGTAAATATTAAAAAATTATAATTATAAATAAATGAGTTATATTAGTAATAATAATAGTAGTAGTAGTAATATATATGAAATAAGAAAAAGAAATGAATAAATAAGGTGGGGTATATATGTTGGAGTGGTGGGGTTATAGTGGGTCCCAAATAAAGTAAAAATCTTTTGAAAAAACTCCTGCTGTAGAGATGATAGAAAATGGAGATTGTTGAATTATGTGGAGGGGGAATAAAGTGATGTGGCAGGAGAGAGAAGGTTAAAATTTCGACTCCTGATGGAGATAGTCTAATGGTCTAGACACAACTATGTGTCACCACTCTTGACACATATATGTCACCACACTCGACATATATATGTGTCATTGAGTTTTGTAACATATTCTCACATGTGTAGAAAGATACTCTCCACACATGCTCTAACCACGCTTATGGTATGTGTCGTGCTCTATTTGTGCGACACAAAAATGTGTCGCCTAGAGGTAAAAAATATATCATAATTTACAACCTTTGTTGTAGTGTTGGTAGTGGAGCCATTAGTTCCGTATCCTTAAGAAAGGGCCCACAAACGAGTATTGATTATGTGAAGGATGTTTCACAAGGGAAGTGTACAAGTCATCCGCATTCCACTAAAGCCTGGATCGAGGTGGTAGTCGCGGATGGATTCCGGTGTTGGTATAATTAAGTTGTAACTTGTGATTTCTCCAGATCAAATGACAGGAGCACAAAGGTTTCGCTAAAATATCGTTGTTGTCGCACAAATAGAGGGTACGATTGTTAAAGACCGTTGGCAAGCTTGGGAGCCTGTAGACTGTAGTGTGCTCTTCCGGCATATTAATTAGCCTCCTTAACACTCCTTCATAATATGAGCCTGTCGAAACCGAGGGATCAGCTGACTCGATGTTCCTTCTGGAATCAGGATCGTAGGATAAAGAACGTCATTGCTTGCAGTCAGAGCGGAATCTCGGGATGCAAATCGCAGGTACATTACTGAGGATGTCTGAAACTACATCCAGCGGCCTCGTTTTTCGAATCCGTCGTCATAATCTTCTCTGCTCTTCTTCGCTTCCTCCTCTTCGCTGCGCTGCCTGCAACTGAATTTTATCACACCAGTAGAAAAACGAGCAACTTAGACGAAAATTTTCGTCTAGGTTGCTCCATTTTCCGTCTAGGTTGGTACACCTAGACAGAATTCCATCTAGTTTGCTCCGTCTAGTCTGATTCAGTCTACGTTGGGGCAAACTAAACGGAATTCCATCTAGATTGATCAACCTAGACGGACATCAACCTAGACGAAATTCCGTCTATGTTAGCAACCTAGACGGAATTTCGTCTATGTTAGCAACCTAGGCGGAATTCCGTCTAGGTTGCTCCGCTACAGTAGTTTTTTTTTTGTAGAATCTACGTTCCACGCTATATAATATCCAACACCAAATCATGTTCATATCCAACCCAATCTAATTATATTTTAATATCAAATACAATTATATTCAAATAATACATTCACCAAAATACTAGAGCGTAACATAAATATATATTATTCTCTTATAACATATAATATGACGAATTATATAACATATAATATAATGAATTATATATATATATATATATATATATATATATATATATATATATATAATAATATATATATACATATATATATATATATATATATATATATATATATATATTATTCTCTTATAACATATAATATGACGAATTATATAACATATAATATAATGAATTATATATTTAATTATGTGAGTTCAAATCTTACTCTCGCCCATAATTTGGAATGATCTAGAGATAGGAAAATTTCTAAAGATAGGAAAATTATGAATATTTTATACCCTTACAATTACGATAGATCTATACTACTTATTGTAGAAAATTTCCCACCAAACACTTATAAAAGAGAATACTCATGTCAAAACTTTTGATTTTCTTTTTTACCCTCTCAATTTTTTATAACTCATAATTATACCATCATTTACAAAGCTAATGATCCACAACCTCTCATTAATTAACTATGCACCTCTTCAATTTCTCAAATTATTTGGACATTCACTAGAATTATTAATAATTTATAATGATAACAAAATTCATAAATATATGATAATTTATTATGGATAATTATTAATTATATAAAATAGTGATAATTATTTATTTAATATATTATTCATAAATATATGATAATTCATTATAAATAATTATTAATTGTAATAAAATAGTAAAAATTGTTTATTTAATATATTATTGTGCATAATTATAGTTATCAATAATAGTATAAATAGGGTTTATTTCTTTATGTTGTAAAGAATAGTACCTTGTTCGATAATTAATATCGTCTTAGTAATAAAATTTTGGACTTCATAAATCAAAAATATTTTTATTTTGGAAAATTAATTTATATAAAAATGTTTGGATCCTTGAAATTTATGAGACACATACTTTTCTCTTCTTTTTCCCAAAATATTTAGTCATAAACTAGACTATATTAATAATTTATAACGATAATAAAATTAATAAATATATTATAATTCATTATAAAGAATTATTAATTGCAATGAAATAGTAAAATTATTTATTTAATAAATTATTGTACATAATTATAATTATTAACAATAGTATAAATATGGATTGATTCTTTATGTTGTAAGGATATTACCTTTTTCGACATTATAATATTGTCTTAGTAATAAAAATTGGGTGTTAAGAATTAAAAATACTTTTATTTAGGAAAATTACTTTATATAAAAATATTGTATCCTTAAAATTAATGAGACATGCACTTTTTGTTGGAAAGTAAATGTCTCATAAATTTCAAGGATCAAATATGTTTATATAAAGTATTTTTCGTAAATAATAGTATTTTTAATTTATACCATCCAATTTTTTATTACTAAGATGATTCTAATTATTAAACAAGGTAATATTCTTTGCAACATAATGTTATATAATATTTAAAATTATTATCATTATTTAATAGATATTGTAATAAAATATGTAGATAACATAAATATTTAATAATATAAATAATTTAATTATTTCAAAAGTGTTACTTAAACTATTGATTACATTATTATTTAATAATTATACTCTTAAATAAACTATTTAATAACATAATAATAATCAAATTTAAATAACTATTAAATGTATGTTAATAATAGTTTAAGTACTAATAATAGTATAACTTAAATTGCGAAAGTAATCAGCAAGTCGTAGTTTGACATACATCACATATATACTGCGAAAGTAATCAACCAGTCTATTGGATTGGTTGGTGAATATGTGGATTATCAAATATACGCAAGCTATGTATAAACTTCTAAGCTTCCATGAAGCTTTTAAATTTCTTCATGCAAGATGATTTTTTCCCACCAGAAACCAGATAAGTGGAGGAGACGCTTCAAATGTATATCTTGATCTCCAACTCTTTATTAATTTGAACAAACATTGCTCTTCACGGTGTCATCGTACCAATTATAGATTTTGTAATACCATAAATAATTTTTAGAGCGGTAAACAAAATGTACGAGACTAACATATGGGATAAACAAAAAAGATATAGCAAAAAGATTTTGAAATTGAACCCGACGTGAATCGAACACGCAACCTTCTGATCTGGAGTCAGACGCGCTACCATTGCGCCACGGATCCATTTTCTCTTAATCATATTAAATACATATACGATTAAACTTTAGTTATTAACCATAACCAAAAAAATAAAAAAAAATCATAAATACATAAAGCTTGTGGTCTCATCATAAA